GTGTATAGAGCCAAAGATGTTAGAATTGTGTCGATGTCCCAATATTTCTGGACCTGACTGTAAATGGGGACTCCCGTTTAGATGGGAGGAATCGGCGGTGCTGCGCGGGGGAGCAAACTACCGGCGCCGACCGAACTCCGAAGGCAACCGGCATGAGCTACGATCGATGCGAGCGGCGAGAAAAGATCCACGGAGGAGGAAAAGCCCGGATGACCCCCTAGCGACCACTGCTGGTCACATAGTGTAATACTGTATATATAGCACAGTAGATTTGTAATGATTGTTAGTCACTGTTAGGTTTATATATACCTTGTGAGCGGCCCAGAGTTCCTCACTGTGGGGAGATGGGCGGAGAATAAATCAAATGTATATAAATAAATAAATAACTTTCCATACATGGTATCCCGAAGTGCTTTTCAGAATGTACAATACTCAGTAAAGATAATACATTCAAAGCAATACAATGAAAAACCTTCTCCTATACACGGAGGATCCCCTTCCACACAAAGCAGAAATGGAAGCCATTCATCCAAACTTCATAGAAAGAAGACCTATCTATTAATGGGAATAGGCATTACACAAATTTTGGGGAGTATCCCAGAGGGATCCCACCCGTACGTGACTTCCAGAAGGCACTCTGGTTTTCAGCACTTTTTTTTTTTTTTATTTACTTAAACAATTTACTGTATATGGCTGTCCATGTCACCAAAGTGACTCCAGCTGGTATAGAAGACGAAAACAAAAAACCCAATTTATAAAACAAAACACAAAAATCCATAATATAACTCATGCCACTAAATCACTAAAAAAGTAACTAAACAACCAGCCAATGGGGCTCACTTAACCTCCTGGCCCAAATGCCTGTGGGAACATCCAGGGCTTTAACGTCTTGTGAAGGCTTACAGAGTGTGAACCCTTCAGATTGCCAGGCAAATGCTGTTCATCTAGAGCAGGCACATCAACAGAAAAGGCATGCCTTCTAGATCCCACAAAATGTCCCATCTATATTGTCCATCTTGTTCCTTCTAAGTGTCTAATAGGTAGGACCTGACTTAGGATGATTCTTCTGGTTCTGGTGGGATGGGCAGAGGTAATCAGAGACAGGCATTTCTACAAATATCCTGGCCTTATGTATAAAAAACTCATTGGTTGATCGGATCTGGTAAAAGATGTCTATCAAGAATCCTGATTTCAAGTTCTTTAGGATCTTACATATAATAAACAAAACCCTGAACCTGTCTCACCAACCAGCTGATAATCAACGCAATTGCTTCAGCAGAGGGGTGACACGGAGCCTACTAATTGTTCCTTGAACTAGCCACCAAATTATGCATTGACTTCAACTTCTGGACTAAGTGTAAATATAGCCACCCTCTGCCCCCAACCCCATGTTCATCATATCAATCTATGTGTGAAGTTATCAGTAAGAGAAAAACAGTAACTAGGTTGTCTCTGTTCATGAAATGTCATTGTTCATATTCCAGCAGAAGCTGTAACAAGTGTCTCCAGCCATGGAGATTAAACCAATACAACTAATTATTAATTAAATCAATACAATACAATGACTCTGGGACCACCCCCAAACTTCATCCTTGTTCTTTCTGATACTCTGCAACTCCATTGAGAACAGACAAAATTCCTAGTATCTCCACCCAGAAAGCCACTCCAAACAGTTATTGCAAATAATTTTCATGTAATGTTGTACATGGTGTTCCTCAACATTTGCATTTTTCATGACTCTTTCTCCTAATATGCATTTCATTGTTTTATTGTTGGCAGAGTGCACTGCAACATTTGGAGAACTCTGAATCCCAAGCGATCATTCTGGTTGGTATTTGTTCAAAACACAACATTAGCTGGTTTGCCTTCAAAATGCAACTCAAATACATTTCTCTTGCATCCCTGTACCAAATCAGCTCCAAAGATATGTCAGCCAACAGCCTTTGCAGCTTTTGGTGCCAATCCATTTTTTAAAAATGGCATGCCAAGCAATAAGGAACAAACTCAGAGCATCATCAATATGATGCTAAATGTCTGTTACATCTATCTCCAATATTGAACCCAACATTGGCATGTTATTATCAGTTTCATCCAGTTTTATATTTTGTTCTGTCTTTCTTCCTGCCTAAGTTTAGGATGAATCTTATTTCCCTAATCCCACAGTTTCTTAAATCCCTTTGTTCTTTCCCCGCTTCTAGGGCTAAGGGATGTTTTTCTATTCCATTGCATTCTGGGTTTTACTTCCTTGCTTTCCTTCCATTCTAATATTTTGGACTATAGGATTACTAGGCAAGGAATCTCATCACTTCTGAACAATTTTTTTTTATGCTGTTGAGTCAAGTTCAACTCCTACCCCATGCATTTTCTATGTGGCATTTTCGGAAATGTTTGCTATTGTCTTCCTAGAGCTATGAGGGAGCGAAAGATTCAAGGTCACCCAGGTGGCTTTCATGCCTAAATCAGGGCTAGAAGTCACAGTCTCCTGGTTTCTAGCCTGGTGCCTTTAACCACTCCACCAAGCTGGCTTTTGTGCAGGCTACTGAGCTTTTGTATTATGCCAAATCAATTCACAAAGAAGAAACAATGATCAAAGTATCTGCAATCTGGGGAAAAAAAATTGCCTTAATACAATAAGCAAAAAAATGATTCTATTCTACAAACCCAACAATCTATACTCCTGGAAGGAGACATACATTTTGTCTTCTGCAGATTGGGTACAAATGGAAACAGAGTCTCTTTCCAGTCCACATCATATGGCACCCAATTTTAACTACATGTCTATATAGCTAGATATTGCATCTTGGGACCTCCATGGCTTCATGTTTTAATTTGTTTGAGACTCTCCAGGGCTCAACAATTGAATATAGCTTGTTTTGCAT